ATCAGAATAGCAATATCAATTTAAAGAATAATGCAGTTATATATTTTAACCTCTCTTTGTATTCCCCTACACTGGGTAAATAAGCAAATTTAGGCTACAGATGATAATATTACAATTATTTTGACTATTCATAAATATATATATATATTTGATTATTAATATAAATATTTATAATACATATTTGTATTTATTTAAATGTATAAATTCAATAAATACATCACTTATTTGTCTTACAATTATTTAAAAAATGTTTTTATTTCATGTTATTTAAAATCTTCATAAAGTTAAATCCGGATGTTAATAATACTATTCCTGGGTGTTTGTCTCCCCCTGCAGGTTGACTGTAATAACTACATCCGTCTGCTGGAGTTTCTGGGCGATGGACGCATCTACGTGTGTGGCACCTACGCCTTCGACCCCCAGTGTGCCTTCCTGGTCCGTTTTTTCTGTGTGTTTTGTAAAGTGTGTGTTTGTGTTAGTCCCTGTCTGCATGTATGAATTCATATTTGAAGGAGACTTTATCAGGCAGATCTGTGCCTGAGGATCTGTCAGATAGCTGCACTGTGCTATAACTCCAAACTGGTGTGTGTGTCCGCTTGCATGTCTTTGTACCTTGCACCTTCATTATGGGCATTGATAGCTGCAAATGAATATCCGTGACAAGTTCCCACACTCATTCACACCAAAATCCTTCACCAAGGGGACAGGCAGAAGAGTACATAATCACACACAACAATATATATAGCTATCCTACTATGCAAACGTATTATTTTTTTAGGCTCCACTGTCACACTCAGTACAAAGAAAATTGTGAAGTGCAAGTCAACAGTAGTTTATTGTGACATTTTAAGCAGACAATTAGACGAAACTTAAAATATTTAACTCACTGTAAAAAGATGGAGGATGGAGGACATAACAAACAGCTGTGAAAAAATATTATCTACAATATAATTATTTATTTGATATTTCCCTATTGTAGTTCTAACTATTCCTACTCTTGTCGTCCTGCAGGAGATCACCTCCTTCACCCTGGAGAAAGTTGAGGATGGAGGAGTGAAGATGGAGACAGGGAAGGGGAAGTGTCCCTTTGAGCCCAGTCAGCATTACACAGCTGTCATGGCAGGTGAGTCAGTACCACTGAATGTTACACTCAATAATCTGCTTTAATATCAGGCTAATCTGAGGGATAAACTAATTTACTTCCTCTCTCTTGTGTCTAGGTGGTACCCTTTACACAGCAGCCACCAGTAACTTCCTGGGAACGTTATTCGACATCTCCCGGGCACTGAGCAGGAGCGCATCCGAACTGAGCGATCCATCAACTTAATTTAAATAATGTAATTGATAATGAAGTTTTTCATTTTAGGTTGCGTCATTGACAATTAACTGTCAGCTATTAAAGGAGAGAAAGTAGATTTTGTAGGGAGGCAGAGGGAGCAGAGATTGCAGTGTTTCCTGTCTTTATGCTAAGCTAAGCTAACTGTCTCCTGCCTGTAGTTTCTTATTTACTGTACAGTGTGAGACATATTCTCAGATAACTCTCACTAAGAAATGGAAAGTGTTTTTCCCAAAATGTCAACTATTCTTTTCATATCAAACAACTTCATTTAACCTTTTCCCTAATGTAACAGAAACATAGCCTAAAATGTGAACATTTATTTGTCTTCTTCATAGGGAGCATGAGGAGTTGTCAGCAGTGTGTGTTTTCAGTCTGGCTGAAATCAGCAAAGTGATGGACGGCCCTTTTAAAGAGCTGAAGAAGACCTGCGACTGGATCAACCCTGAACCTGTCCCCACACCAAGACCTGGACAGGTACTAAACTGTTCAACCACACAACTACTGCATATGTACTCAGCATTTCTACTTCATAAAATACCTTTCATTATATACAAATAACTCAGACTTTTTCTATCCTTCCCTCTACATTTGTTAGTGTCTGAACAACGCTTTGAAGGCCGAGGGCTACGAGTCCTCCCTGAAACTTCCCGACAAGGTGTTGACTTTTGTGAGGGACCACCCGCTGATGGAAAACAGCGTTACTGCAGCACCTCTACTGGTCCACAAGGGAGTCAGATACACCAAGCTGGCTGTAACGCAGATGGGAGGCGGAGAAAGGCAGAAGGGAGCAGTGCTGCACCTCGGAACAGGTGAGGAGAGGGAGGAAGGGTTCAGAAGAAAGGAGGCAGTAAAAAAGACAGAAAGCGTGAAGAAATGAACTCAAACCTCTGTGTTCGTGTGCTGCAGATCGAGGGGAGCTCCACCGGGTGGCGGTAGTGGGACAGAACGCCACCTTGCTGCAGGAGATTCCTCTGTTCAGCTCACAGGAGCCCGTCAACAACATCTTACTGCACCAGGTATTGGCACAGTTCTTCACACACATGCTGCATATTTCCATCTGCTCTGTTTTGCAGCTCAGTGGTTCTGTAATGTCTCCATGTGTTTGCAGGGTCTGGCTCTGATGGGCAGCCCCCTGTCTCTGGCTCGGGTCCAGGCTGAAGGCTGCGCTCTGTACTCCGACTGTAAAGAGTGTGCCAGAGCCAGAGGGCTGGGCTGTGATTGGAGCACAGAGGAGGCCGCCTGCAGGCCCACCACTGCAGAGTGAGTACTGCTGGAATATAAAACTGGAAATCTTCCAAATGTAAAAATAAAGGCAGACAGCAACAGTATTGGGTTGGAAAATGGTTTGGTTATGTGTCAAAAATAAACAGTTTTCTGTGTGTCCAGGCCTGGTCCAGGTGATGTGGTTGACAACGCTTTGAGAAAGTGTGATAAAGAGGAGGGTAAGCGTGATTTGATTTTTTATTCAAAAAGCTACAGTGTAATTTTGGCAAAGATGTCAAGCCTGTGTAACATTAACATATTCTCCTTGTGTGTTTCTCTTCTGCTCCCTGCGTGTCATCTCCTCCAGGGCGTTGCAGTCCGTCCATGAGGGAGTTGCGGGTGTCTCTTGGTCTGCGTCTCCTGTTGCCATGTGTCCAGCTGTCTCCCAGGCCCTGCAGCTGGGAGCACCCCCCCCCCACAGACACACCCGGCAGCACAACTCTGACCTGGAGGTGACGGTCACAGAGGACAGCCTCGGAGACTACATTTGCACCTGCCAGGTACACAGGCAAAACATATATTCAAAACTTATCTTTGCATATTCAGCCTGTTAAATGTGTATCCTGCTATAAGACTCCCAGTTAACTGCAAACTGCAGAGTTTAAAAGTACCTGTTTTAACGGTTTACGAGATTAAACAAGTCATATTTTTCTGTGTCATGTTGCTATTCTCCAGGAGGCAGGGCCAGGAGTCAGAGAACTGACCCCCTGCCGCAGAGCAGCCTATCAACTGACTCTAGAAGGCCCTAATGCTGGAGGAGTGGTGGTGACAGCAGGGGGGCACCACGTGCTGGCCATCTACATCCTTTTCTTCTTCTTGGGTTTAGCGTTTGGTGCGTTCCTCCTCTACTTCTTGACCCGTCGGCGTAGCATTGTCCACCAGGGTCACCACCTGCCGGATAATTCGCTGTCGTCAGAGAAGGGGCGGGACTTGCTGGGCTCCTCGGCCACGCCCCAGTCCCCGAGCAGCGCCAGCCTGCTGTCCGATGGATTCAGGCTGACGGAAAAACGCAACGGGACGGTGACCTCCAACACGACCACAACGCTCCTCAGCAACAATAGGAATGATGGTCACCATGGCAATAGTTACAGCGGCACCCTGATCAGCCCCAGCAATGGCCACGGGAACTCCCTGTACTCCAACTGCAACACCAGCAACAGCGGACTGAAGCTCACCTCTGAAATTTTAGCTGCAGATGGATGGAAGGACGGGGGAGAGGGGGAGTCTGGACATGAGGGAGTCTGTGGATGAGGGGCTGGGGGACGCGTTGGGGGATGGAATAAAAGGACTAGAGGAGGAGATGGCAAGCTTTCCCATGTTTAAATTACCAGCACCACTGGCTCAGTGTGAAGAAAGCTCAATATGAAAGGTTGATGTAAAAGTTGATGCGCCATTTAGCATCCTCAGAACAAACTGAACTGTCCCAGGACGGATGCAAAATGGCTACTACTAAATGCCTTTAAACGGGAGCTGTGGCATGAAGAGAGACTACAGAGATATATGAGAAATATACGTTTATCAAGCATGTGCGGGAGAAACCAGTGTTGTGAGGCGTTCAGGATGAGAGCCACAGCTGAAAAATGTGTCATAATATAAATTGTAAATACGAAGAGTCCAAACTGATTGTGATGTCGCGCAATTTAAATGTTTAAAAAAAAATCAAAGATGACGTGTCTACACGTGTAGACATTGAAAAGCCATATTGTTTTCTCCTTTACTCCTGTTGTTGTTTGCTCTCTCATTCTCCTGACACTTTGAATCTTTCAGCACCTCTGTCTCTTTCTCTGTGTTTCTGCTCCTCTCTCTGACACACCGCTGACATCCCAGAGGTCACAGACTGTCCCGTCATGCAGCATCAATCCTGGGCTTCAGGCAGAGCGATGTGGCTGTCAGAGAGCAGAGAACCGTGGAGAGAGTCCTTCAGGCGGACTCCAGTGATGGGGCTGTCCCTGCCTGCACTGCCACACAGCTCAGCAGGACGATACGTGTCAGTGTGGAAATCTCAACATGCAAGAAACTGACAGGTGACATGTCTCTGTTCACCTTCAGTTACTGGAACATGTGAATGGGAAATTAATTTCAGCCTCACGGGATGGACCTTGCCACCATCACCTCGTTTTGTGAGTGTGGAACTTAAAACATGTATTGTTTTTGTCATGTTGTTTTGTAATAAAGCATAACAAAGTTTCTGGTTGTGGGTGTGCTTCTCTTACCCCCCCCCCAGAAATCAAACATGTAAGCATTCTTCAAGTGTTTGTAAAGTAGCTCTGACTGAGTGTGTGCACCTTTATTAAGATGTATAATACATTGATCCATAAGTACAGTTCCATTGATATTACATTTCCTTTAAGTTTGACATTTTGGTTGAGACCTTTTGATCTACTATGATTTTTATCTCATGACCATTTTTATAAAAAAAAATTCCAACACACTAGACTTCATTCCATCCATGGTGTCTTTTTTTGTTTCATTTCTGTCATGATTCTTGTGTTATGTCACGTTTTAGTTTTGTATGTCTTGTGATGGGTGTGTTTCTGTTCTCTCTGTCATGTTTTCCTCCTTGTATATTGTCTGGTCCCTCTCCCTGGGTTTTTCCTCCCTGTCGTTAGTTTCCCTGGTGTGTCTAATTGTTTGATTGTGTTCACCTGTGGCCCTTGTGTTTCTCCTCCCCTGCCCGGCTGTTTCTCGTCTGGTGATTACCCCTCCCTGTATTTAGTATGGTCTCTTCCTGTGTTCAGTGTTGGTGCTTCTTTTGTTTGTGACCTAGTTCACCGTAGAGTGTTTTGTTTGTTTCCATGTGATATGTTCGATAAGATAAAGGTATTATCAGTATTATCTGCGTTTGGGTCCTACCTGCTTCACTCCGCGTATCAATTTCTTCCTCTGTTTGTTTTCCCGCCATTGTAATAGTCTTCCCCACCCTGGCTTGTTCCACCTGTGCTTCATGTCAATGAGTCTTTTGTGCTTTTGTGTATTTAGTATTAGTTTCCTCACTTTCTATATCATTTTGTCATCACTTCCTGTATTATTTCCCTTGTTGTTTCACCATGTCCTAGTTATCTCCCTGTCTTTTGAGTTTCTAGTACAGTATATCTTGTTTTCAACTATTGTGGATTTGCTTATTTGTTACCCACCTCCTGGCATCTTTTTTCTATAATCCTAACCCCTTAAACAATAATTCCCCAGACTTTTGTGCAAAGACAAATGCCTTTAAATAACCACAATGCTTATAATAACTTAAGTTGAGGTGGTTGAGTATTTGTCATGTCCTTAACAGATTGTTCTTTGCTCAGCAGTGAGTTAGTAGTCATGACATCCTCTCAACCATCCAGCAGTTCTCTAGGCCTTTTGTAGCCGAACATCCTGAAGTCCTGCTCATAGAGCTCGTACAGCTTCCTCCTGTCCTCTAGGGGCACTGCGCTGAACCAGTCTAACAGAAAAGCAGGTGTGGTCATGTTTTCATAGGAAGGAGGGAACTGGATGTTGTCCTGCAGCATTAGGATCTTCAGCAGCTGTGAGGCATCCTGCTGAAGAGTCTCCTGATGGCCCACGAAATCATACCTGGCAGGTCAAACAAACTCAGGTCAAACCACAGCATTGCTTTCATTTGTAATATGTGTCCCAGGGTTCTTGTATTTATTTCAGTCTCAGCCGCAGCAATAAGTAATTGTCTTGTTGAAATGTGTCCCTCCTGTGATTCCCTATTTTAACACAATTCTAAATCACTGTAGTGCACATTCACAAAACTACAGGGAAAACCTCAAGATTGAAACAACATCAACAAGGCTTGACTTAATTGGTTTTCAATGTAGTAGTCCATTCAGAGACCAATCCTTAAAAGTCAGACATTAAATAACACATTAATAACAATCATCTGCCCCGGCAAATAGTTTCTTGTATGCTGAGGTCTTATACAAAATCTAAGAATAAATATTGTGTTCTTTTTTGTACTGTCTGGACTTAAACCCAATGTCAATGTTATTCCCTCTGTGATGTCTTGTAGCTGTGAGAGTCAAATTCTGCATCTGGAATAGTTATCACAACTATATTTGAATTTATTTTATGTTGTTTAAAGAGAGAGAGTGGTTTCTAGCGTAAATTCTATAAGGCGTTTCATTATTATATTTGGGCATTGGTCTTTGTTTAATATAGTATTATTAATTTGTGATCAATTTTGGATTAGATTAGGTCAGTGGTTCCCAAACTTTTTCAGTCGGGCCCCCCTTGGGTAATTGGAAATATTTTCGGGACCCCCCAACCCGGTTCCCATCTATATTGGTAGGATTAATTGTATATTGTTGTAAAAACATTACATTTTCTCTACTAATAATAAGAAGATACAAAGATCCAACTATAATTTTATATTTTATTATGGATTACACATGAACAAAAGTGCTTGTAATAGATACTGTGAATTAATTTGGCCTAATTAAAACTGGTTGGCCTTCTTCCCTGAGTAGTAGATTTTAAATTCAAATTTCTTTAATGAAAATGTATTAATTAACTACTATTTCTACTGCAGGTTGCAAACGATCACATCACTTGACCATTCCTATTCCACACATAGCCTATCAATGACTTGTGTGTGCTTGCTTTCCCTTGGAACCGGGGGCTGTTGTTTTGAGACTGCCACTCTCAGTTCATTCTCAATGTTCAGCTTTGATCTGTATTTCGTTTTGATGGCAGCAACAGCAGAAAAGCCTATCTCACACAAGTAGGATGTTGCAAAAGGCATCATTATGCCCACAGCTCTCTGACCAATGAGATATTTTCGAGCAGTGTTTGTTTACAATTGAATAATAATAATAATACATTTGATTTATATAGCACACTTTAAAAACAACGTCATCTCAAGCATAGCCGCGGGAAGTAGGGGTGCTGGGGGTGCTGCAGCACCCCCTGTTGGCGAGTGGTATACATTTGAAAAACGGAGTGACCACCTAAATAAAAATGATTAAAGGGATAGTGGAAATCCGCGAATTTTGGGTTTAACTTATGTATTTTTATTAAAAATAAGCATAATAAACAATTTTTTTTTATTTCATGCGCCTAGTTTCATTTTATTTTCAATTTTACTGCGCCCTCTCAATGAAACGAAATACTTCGGGAATCGTCGGGAATCTTCGGGTGATGACGAGAGCATAGGAAGACGGGCACAAACAATGGCGGACATTCAATAGCATTTGCATGTGAATAGCCGACCTTTATTATGGTGAATAGATGTGTTTTGTATGGCTGTAGTGCGACAGCAAATGCAGAGAATGGCGTATTGACGCATGCGTTTCCAAGAAATCCAGCCATTCGTCGTCAGTGGGTGAAATTTTGATCACAAATCAAAAAAGGTAAGACGTAATTATTGTAATATTTTTGGAACCGGATGTTGTTTACTTTCTCTTTTCTGGCTGATAGCTCCAGGAATTCGAGGTCTTACAGTGATGACATTACATCTGTGGAGTCTCAGCTTTAAATCGTATATCTTGTTTGTGCAGTTAAGATAGTAATAACTAATAAGGGCATTTCTACCGTGTGTTGTGTGTAAAAAAGCGTTAGCATTAGTTAGCATTGTTTCGCTCAATGCTAATTCAAAGGCTTGGTATTACTCTTGTGTTTTTTCTAGCTAACAATTGTTCTTATTGTCAGTTAGCGGAGTTTCTTACCTTTAAAAGGGTATGAAACATTAATAGTTTCATAAATGTTAAGAAGCCCTGAGACATGTGAGAGAAAAAAAACTGTGGGAGGGGTCCACTGGGGGGACCTTCGGGCTTAACTGGTTAACAATGATTAATATTTGTAAAGGCTACAGGTGATCTTAAGATGCGTGAGCTATGCTTAGGGACCTACCAGTCAAGATTATTTGTGCGTAGGGGTGCATCATCTGGCACCTGGTCCTGGTCATCCTCGCCATTGCCCATGCCGTGAACCATCACCTCGGGCTCGGGCTCGAACAAATAAGGACGTAATGGTCCATCGTCTGGCTCAATATTGTCACCATAGTCGCTTACTGAACCGGATTCAGATTCAGTTCCTAAAACGACATTTTCGTAGGAAAGCCGAGAGGATGTTTCTGACTCGCTATCATCACTGGATACCTTGTACAATCCTTCTTCTTTGTCTGGTATATTTGCCCTTCCACGTTCATTCTGCATAGACGCCATGGTTTGTTATCGTATCGTCTTCCTAAGTTTTCGTCACTTCCGGTTTGGCTGAGTCGAACATTTCGTTTCTAAAAAACTTCGGGGAAGCTGCAATAAAGTGCTTCTAACATGCGTAAGGCAATTATTATATTTTTTTAATCAGGTGTGATTGTTTTGGTACGTAATTATGCTTGTATATAAGTTAAAACGAAACTATTTGAGGTTCCATTTCAACTATCCCTTTAAACTACATAAAATAGTTATGATTTTACTTAAAATAAAATTAGCTTTATACAGTAGCATATAATAGTCATAGTATATATTTGTATATATCAGGTGGCTTGAATTTATTTTCCAAATAAATAAAATCCGAGTCATCTAGGTCGTAGGTCCTGGGAGAGTGACGTAATTGACGCGACACACACACTGCAGAGTGACAACTTTCTAGAATGGCGCAAACAAGGATTTTGAATTTTTTTCTCCAACAAACAACCCAATAAAAATAGTGGACCACCAGCTACTCCTCAGCCCACCACCTCTACAACTAGAGTAATATGACACAGAAGAGACTGACACATCTGACTTTAATGCATGTCCATAGTAACATTTTGGACAATGTGGATGTATTTGCTCTAATGAGGGTCTTCATTAATGCCACCCCAGGCTACATTTGGAGTTTTGTGAAGCCCCAACACAAGGTAAGACGATATTTGTCCTTTAGTGCTGCTGCCGCTGTGCAGTGTTTTGCCTTGTCAATCAGTTAAAATTGAATTCATAGTTTTATTAATATTGTAAATAATATTTTCTGACTATTTGTAATGTTATGTAGGTTTGTAAGACCCATAGTTAGCATGTGGGCATGTGCAACTGTTGCTAAGTGATGTAGGTCTATAATGGTTTATTAAGCCTTTAAGGCGAGACACCCCAGGTGAATAGGGTAATTTATCCAGTTAATTACCTACAATAAGGCAATTGTTTCTTATATTACAAGTTTTCTGAATATGCAAATGAACCATTATCTCATTAAATTTGCGCATATTTTAACACATTTCAGGAACCGAAATCTGAACTTTGGATAAAGCCAGGTTCAAAATTCTCGTTTAATTTTGTAGTCATATTAGCATCTAAGGCTTTTACATAAGGGATTTTGGATATCTCTTTTTATCACTCCATAAATCAGAAAATACTGTCAACAGCCCTAAAATATCAATTTTCGCCATGTTTCTAGGTATAAAATCTTATATAATTCAGGCTATGAATGATATATGAACAAACCCTTCTGTAAAAGCCTTCATAATATTGATAAGAATATAACTGGAAGGTTTGGTGTATGTAAGTGCAACTGAAGTGGACATTTCTGACTCAGAGTAGGAGAAAAAACTCATTTTGAGAAAATGACCTTTAAAGATTGCAGTGAGGCGCTAGCTAAACCCTCCTGTTCTTTGGATGACAGCTTGCGCCTCAACGCACTCCGTGAAGGTATTTCATGTTCGGGGTAATTTGGTTTTTGTATAATCTTGCTTCGTGCAAGTGACAATTGTTGTTGTCTTCTCTGTGAACGTTTTTTCGCCGTTCTTTTGCCATTTTGAGATTTAAATTTCTAGCGGAAAGCTAACCAGGAAGTGTTTTAGCACATCACGTGACGCATCTGAACGAATCACGTTGTCAGAAGTTGACACCAGCCAATGAGATTTCGTTTCTTGGTTTAAGACCCTTTTGTACTTTCACGATTGGTTGCTGATACAAAGGAAATGACCCATATTTGGATCCGATGATATTGTGCAGGAGAGACGGAGCTTTTCCAACGATGACATTGTGCAAACAGCGGTCGCGGTACTTTATGTTACGTTAGAATGCTAACTTTTGGTGAATTTAGGAGAAATATACAGATGCAAATAGACAAACTATAGTAAAATGAACAATTACATGTGTATTTTGTACGTTTTCCTTCCAAAAGCCTGAAAGAAAACATGTTATGGAATCAAAATAGCACAACATCTCAAAATTGACCAGTGCATGAAAAACGATGTTTTTGCCTGCCGTGTCTCGCCTTTAACAAACAATTGATGCGGCTTGTATCGCTTAAGCGGCTCCCTCCCCACTTTTGGCAGCACCCCCTGAGCAAAATGACTTCCCGCGGCTATGATCTCAAGGTGCTTCACAAAGCTAAAAGGAGAAAATTAAAAAATCTTCCCGCGCCCCCCCCTGCAGTACCTCCGCGACCCACCAGGGGTCGCGCCCAACCGTTTGAAAACCACTGGATTAGGTGGTTCACATGGGTATGGACGGCACTTAAAGGTCACCTATTATGCAAAATCCACTTTTTCATGTCTCTTCTACATCAGCATGTGTCCCCTCTGCGTTAAGAGATTCTGAAAGTTTCAGGAAAAAATATTCTGTCTCTTTTTGTCCTGATCCATTTATATAAAAACCTGTCTGAACGTTTGTTTTGGCTTGTGTAACCATTAGCCAATCACCAACCAAGCCCCCCCCCCCACACCTTATCACCTGAATCTCCTCCTAGAGCACCAAATGTGTTCTTTTTAACCAAATATCTCTCAGAGGGGCGTGGGGAGTGGCTCCTTATTTTCATTTGAAGTAACAGACAGAGCACTTTTGGAACAGGGCTGAAACAGAGGGGATTATGGGATGCTGCAATGATCTGTTTGGTATTTGGAGCCAAACACTTCAGAGACATGTTTTGTGTATATCTGAGAACTATAATGATGAAACCTTTAAAGCTCCATGTGTGTATAAAGTAGTTCCTCCATAGACCACTTTACATGTCCAGAAACAGTCATTAATGAACGTACTTTATGAGACAAGGGAGGCACAGGCGCTGCATCTGCCTCCAGTGGGGATCAAATGGCTCATTCCTCTCCGTCAGAGGGTCCAGCAGGTACTGAATGAAGTTCTGAAAGGAGACCCTCATCCCGGACGCGTTGGCCTCTTTCAAACTCTGTGGAGGGTCAGGCTGGTTTGCATACAGGCGCAGAATATGCCGGCCATATCGTTGGTAGAAGTACTCATTGTGTTCCTGGAACTTGTTTCTGTAAGCGGAGAAGAGACGCACAAATGGGTCCCGGACATACAGGAACTTTGTGTAGTGCTTCAACTTGGCCTGTAGGAAAGAAAAAGTTAAAGCTTCCTGGTTGTAACCGTTAGACACTTTTGATGTGTCATTGTGTGGACTGACCTTAATCTCTGATCTTGGGAAGCTGTTCAGGAAAGGCAGAATGTTGGGGAGATGGACTAAATCAGGAGAAATGGAGGCGGGGTCAGGATACGGCTCGTCCTTGGTCAGGGAAAACATCACTCTCTTCCAGTTGGTGCACGCCACCTGTTATAAATCAGAAATCCTTTATTCTGCAGCAGTGGGGAAATGTAAGGTGTGACAGCAGCAAATGTACAGTGCGAATAAAAGGCAAGAGGAAAAAGAGTAGATATATATAATAACAAAAAAGGCAAAATGTTAATAAAATGATATGCAAATAAGTACAGCATGGAAAAATTAAGTAGCAGTATGTTAGCGAACATATGAAAGTTGTAGGAGCCGGACAGATTGCAGATAAATTGAAACCAAAAATAAAACGTAAATTGCACGAGCAGTGGCTTTGCAAAACAGTTTTCATATGTACAGCCAGTGTTGTTGCACATCAGTGATATTAGTGTCTTTGTTAATATGGTTATCCAGCAGATTAAAAAAAAGGACAAGGATCTACACGCTATAGTAGAAGGGTAAATAATTGCTAATAAGATTACTGAAACTGAATTTAGTTTCTAGGTGGAAAAATCTCAGCTCTCAGGCTGCCATGTTTTCGAGTCTTGTGTAACCAGCAGATATCCTGGTTTAAATGTGCCACGTGTTTTCAAGCTTAAAAGAATGAGGTTGGAGTAAAGGGGCGATGTCTACGAGAGGATTATTTATCGGTTTGGAGATTGAATTTCTGTCTTTGCATTCCACCTTTTTTGCTCTTCTCACTTAAATGTACCTGCTTGCAACAGGACTAGATTAACGTTTAGATTAGATATACGTTATTCATCCCAAATTGGGAACTTGTTTTGTCACAGCAGCATTTACGAATGACTTGTACTCTGCTGCAGATGATGGTGAACTCACAGGTGCCATTTTTATTGACTTGACAAAAGCCTTTGATTTCGTTGATCGATATCTGCTCTTGGATAAACTTCACGGCATTGGCTTTTCTAATAATACAGTGTTATGGTTTAACTCGTACCTTCACAGTAGAAAGCAATGTGTGGTTGTTAATGGAAAATAGTCTGACCTGTTGATCCAACAAAAGGGTGTACCCCAAGGATCAACTCTGGGCCCACTTCTGTTCTCTATTTACATAAATGATTTATCTTCTTGTCTCATTAATTGTTGTAATCACCTTTATGCTGATGACACTGTCATATATACATCCAAATCCGATTTTTCACAAATTCAGATCTCTCTTCAATCGGATTTTAATATCTTACACAATAAACTACTGCTTAACAAAACAAAATCTTATACCATGGTCTTTGGTACCAGGCAGAAGCTCAAATCCAAACCTAATGTAGTAATAACATGTAAGGATGGCACTTCGCTGCATAAAGTTGATAGCTTTAAATATCTTGGTGTATGGCTAGACTCTGAACTTTCATTTAAACTACATATAAAGCATGTAATACAAAAAGTCAATTACGGAATCAGTGTTTTACACCGCTCTCGCAATTGTTTTACGCTCAGTGTCCGAAAGAGAATTGCTTCTCAACTTATTCTTCCGATTATGGACTATTGTGATGTTGTCTACCAAAATGCACATAAATCAGATCTTGCTCCACTCAACATAGCCTACAATAGACTATGCAGATTTGTTCTTGGTTGTCCTTTTCGTACACATCACTGCACAATGTATAACCAACTTAAATGGCCTTCTTTAAATGTAAGAAGACACATGCATTGGCTCCAGCTGATATTTAAATGCATTTATCTTAACTATCCCCCTTATTTAAAGCAGTATTTTGTACCCTACTCACCAAATCATCAAGTTAGACATTCTGTTCAGATTTATTTCTCTGTCCCCTCTGCAAAGAAATGTATTGGCAGAAGAGCGTTCATGTTCAAAGCCTCAACTGACTGGAATACTTTACCTGCTGCTATTAGATCTTTTGCATAATTGAGTATGTTTAAACATGCATTATCATCTCACTTTCAACTGGTCTGCACTTGTTATTAATGAAACTGATATTGATGAAACTGATTTGCTTGACTGTCTCAAATTGTAATGATTGTATGCATTGCTTGAATTTTACTTAACAGACTGTATGTGGTTTGTCTTGTGTGTCATGTTTTGCATTTTGTCTTTTTGTTTATGTATGTCTGTAAGTTGTTGCTATTGTCGGGACCCCCTTGAAAACGAGATGGTGCATCTCAAGGGGTTTATCCCAATCAATAAAAATGTATATATATGTTAACAGGCATTACACATGAGTTAAAAACATTTACAAATAAAAATTGAAATAATAAACCAAACAGTATGAGATAATGTCTTGTATCTAAATAATACACAATATAAAATGTATCCAATAAGTTAAAAATACTCTAAAATAGACCAATCTACTACTATTATAAACATAGAATACAGTATACATTGGAAAAGTGTGCAAAGTAGTTTCTTTTATTTAATTTAGATGCAGTGAGTTAGTGTTAATAACATAATATCTCCATATTTTTTTATTGAAAGGAACCAGCTTAATTGGTTCAGACACAGTGAGTGCATTGAGCCTCAGTTAGTACCATAAGAGTGTATTGTGCGTGTCACCTTGGGAATGTAACAGTATATGATGCCGTGTTTGTCGTCCACAATGAGGTTCGCCAGCTCATTGTTTCTGACGTCTTCTAAACGGTGCTTGAATGTCTCTTTGTCCCCGGCACATGTTTCTCTCAGCGGCTGCTTCCTCAGCTCCTGCGTCTCATGGATCCTCTCCTCTGGAATAAGAGCAAAATGTTTGTTTAGTTTAATGTGAGCCACAATTATCCAAAAGCAAGCACTGTGGGGTGAGGTCACTGCGTCAACATTTATTAATCTATTAAATTACTATTTGTCATAGGCAGTGGAGCATGAAAATAGTGTCTGGAGCAGGAAGACCAAACAGGATGCACAGCAGGAACGGTAAGAACCACACACACATACACACACTGTACCTTGTTTTCTTTGTGACATGTCCCATTGGTAAAAGGACAATGCAATGATAAACATGGATACCGCATATATGAGGAGCTGCTTGAATCCACTGTACTGTGCCATAGCAACAGGGGAGTTGTCAATGAATCAGAAACAAAAAGATTGACATTTTAGTGACACTAAATATGATGAATGATGGTAAAAGCCATTATCCCTATTTCTTTCTGATTGAATACTGTATAAATAGTGTGTAAATACCAGTCAGAGTGCTGTGTAAGACATAAAGGAAGGTGTCACATATTTCAATTCAAAGTGCATTGGGCTCGACATTCATAAAATGTGGTTTCTAGATCTATAAAACTAATATTTTATTGTGTCCTACGGAAGGACCGAAGAAACACACATACAATTAATTTAGAACACATTTGCAAAAAGCAGCTAAGAGCTACAGAAATGCAAGGCGTCACCTCAGGAACTAACACAATTCAGCAAATACATTAAACACTCACTCTGATCAGATGAACTCACAGAGGGATGCATGAGTGGTTATAATGAAACAACTCAAATTGTTTTGATACTGCTACAATCCATTTAAACACCACTCACCTTGCTGATAGCTGTTGGGATGAAGTGCACTGTGAGGGTCTGGTTGACTGTAAAGCAGGAGACAAGATGAACAGGACTGTTCCTAGTCTGCCATGGCCAGTGTTGTGATACATGGGCTTGTGTGTGTGAGGTTTTTGGCCGCGGCGGGGTTTTGTTGGATATATATGGAAAGCCTCAAGTGCCACTATTCACCCGTTTAAAACGCGCGTTTTTATGGAAAGCCTCAAGTGCCACTATTCGCCCGTTTTTCGCGCGTAAGACGCGCGCGTTTTTGACGCGTATAAAACGCGCGTTTATTTGATCAAATAAACGCGCGTTTTTTTAATATGATAATGAGCCCCACCTTCTGTTTTGCATAGCCAGTACATTTAAAGTGTGTGCAACCAATCAGTGAAGAGTTAAGCCAGACTAAAGCAATCTGTTGATGAAAAGTTCCTGTAACCTACCCCATTGTGAGATTTAGATATAATCACAATAATTAAATCTAAATTAAACATTTACAGTAAATAATATAAAGTATAAACATATCTACAGTCACAATTTCATTAATGTTATTCATACTTTCTGTTGTGTAGTTTATTAATGTTCCCGTGCTTTCAGTTTCCATCCAGTAATATAATCAGTAGAGGAAAAGTGTGTGTACAAGATAGATATTAACTTTACTCCACAATTTCCTATCGTATTATTAAATAAGTCTGCACAGCTGAGGGGACACCTGTAACTCAATTCATGTGATTTTTGGGTGATTTATTCAATAAAAACCTCTGTATTTTCAGAGTTAATCAAATGAAAGCCACATTGTTATCTAAAGTGTCTCAAACACGTTTAAGGAGTGCAATGCAACTAAAAGGTACACTAATAAAAGTAAAACGTTGTACCAACAAAAAAATATTAGAGTAATCAATCACACGAAATATTTTACATTGACTCAATTTCTTCAGATCAATCTGTATATTTTAACACCAGAGCACATTTATTTGAATGAAAAACAAGTTGTTCACACAACCAGCTTTGGCCTCTGAGGCAGCCATTACCTGATCTTAGACATGTTAATAAGTACCACAGTTAAAATGCGGTAATACGTGGGCCGCTTCCAAACATCAAACTCTTAGAAAAAAGACATGTCCTTATTATCCACTGCACACTTTTTTAAAGCAACACTGACAACGTGCGCCTGTGAGACATGTAATCTCTGAAAATGATTAGACATGCATAACTTCTACAGTGAAAATCGGTCATACTGTAAGTGCAACTTCTGAACACTTTTTCGCAAATGTTTTACAATGCATAATTATTATAAAACCTTGGTTTTAGAAACCTTACCATGTAACAATGGTAACTGTGAGTGAGTGCAACAAAGTGTCTACCAGCTGGGTTCTCAGTCTATTCACTTTTGGGCTCATCTTTTTCCCCTCCATCAGGACTTTTTGCACAACTTCAAAAGTGGATTGCAGTTATTTCTGATATCTTAAGTTCAGTCAGACAACTCACGTGTTCCTTTAACATGTTTATTAGAAGCAGCATATAGTTGAGTTTGGCGACTAGGCTCGGGCATCATCACTCCATAGATATACATAGCACGATGAGTGATGATCAAATAACTAACCCCCGAGCCTACAGGTGGAAGCTGGGGTGGTGGTGGGGCAGCGAGCAGCAGCGACGTAGAGGTATCTGCAGCAATAGCAGCAGCAAGCAATGCATGGAGAGAGATCTGGCAGGTTAAATAGAGCGGCATATTAAGGAGACTCTGTTTGGTTGGTTGTAGAGTGGCAAGGGGGCGTTATGTATGAATGCAGCATAAGTGCTCGAGTTGACTGCCTGAACTAGCTCGCAGGCTTCGCCCCATTTCAGTGCGTATATGAGCCCGAAGAGCATGGCAAAAGCTGTCGCAACCGAGGGCAAGCCGCTGAGGACCTCTGTTCCTTCGATGAGAACCTTGACGTCTTTGGGTCGATGAAGCTGATCCTCTTTCCCAGTGTCAAAGGCTTCCATTGTTGCCTGCTCCAGTTCTCCAGCCTCAGCGTCCTGCAGATCATGCAAAAAAAAGGGGAATGGATGAGGACCACAGAGTGTAGTTCAACAGGCCTGAGGTGTCAGTTCAGTCGGCCCAAGAGGAAAGCTCAGGAGGTCATCACAAATGACTATCTTTCTAACCAAGCAGTTATTTGCATGCAGTACAAATATGTTTTCTTTTATGAACAAACTTCTTGTGAGTGAGTGGGAGGTCTTACCTGGAATTCTTTGATGAGATGGTCAACAGGTTCACCCAGGTAGATCATTAGAGATTTGAGGACGCATTCTCTTCTGATGGCGATGTCCACAGTCTGAGTAAGAACAGAGATATATATATATAATAAATTAAATGCAAATAAAGGAGGATTCAGCCACTGATCCCACAGATAAACTCATTCATAGATACCTCATCCAAAACCTGCAAGATCCCGGTGGTCTTCTGTTTCACAACTCCTCCCCTGCTCCTGATGACCTGAGTGTTTGTCCAACTGCGCCAAGAACTTTGTCTCCAATGGAATTGTTGTTATGCGCATTAACTCAGCATTTACCTAGAAAATATAAGCAGCATAGAAAACAAAAAATACTAAGAATTTATAATACACATGTTTTTTATAAAGAGCCAATGGTTTGATTAAAAGTACTCCAAGTCAGCTTGTATGAATGTAACATTTAAATTAATTAATCCACATATTTATTGAAAACCACCACCAAATAAAGACACTAAGAGTAATAGATGTAAAGCTTATATTGTGATATATATTAAAAAATAAACGTCAACATATTTGCCTCGGCTGTCTATAGTTGTTAGTTAGTTGGGCCCTCAATTCTTCTCCACTACAGGCTTACAATCAAGGGTTTCATCAAAATAATTACCTCTTCCATGTGAAAAAGTGCAGGCCACCGCTCCAAGAGGCCTTCAATGCTTGGCCTCCGATGCACTATTTCTTGTCTTCAGTATCCAAACGCCTTCGCCATCTTTTCTTTTATTGATTGCCGGTTGTTTCTTTTCTGTTGTTCTGCCAAAAGGGAAATTGTCTCTTGCTCCATGCTTTCTGGAGTCTCACCGAGGCGGTGCTAGGCGAGACTTCTTTGCTGGCTGGGTTGATCGTGATGGCTGTGGTGGAGGCCTTTGTCCCGAGGTGTATCTTAATCTTGTGGCAGATGGAGATGGAGGCCACTGTAGTGATGATGGTCCTCTGGTCCTTTGCGGTGAAGGCCCTTGAGCCACGGTAGATCTTGACCTGGGGGCAGGGACAGATGGAGGTTCTTGCTGCTAGGCCCAGGCAGCTGAAATCTGAAAAAAAATATAGGACAATAATTACTACTAAGTTTGTTAAAATAAAGTTCAAGTGGAATGTTTCTCAAGCACAAATAACAATGCACAACTCAAAATAAAATTATCTCTCTCTCTCTGGAGGAGGAGGAGGAGGAGGAGGAGGAGGAGGAGGAGGAGGAGGAGGAGGAGGAGGAGGAGGAGGAGGAGGAGGAGGAGGAGGAGGAGGAGGAGGAGGAGGAGGAGGAGGAGGAGGAGGAGGAGGAGGAGGAGGAGGAGGAGGAGGAGGAGGAGGAGGAGGAGGAGGAGGAGGATGATGAGGATGATGATGATGATGATGATGATGATGATGTGAGAGATAGAAAGAGAGACGTTGTTAGTATTTGGTGCTAGCTCGGAGCTAACGGAGATTAGAAGCCGTTTCAACAATAAGGAGAGGGAGAGCTCTCTCCTGTGGGACTGAGAGAGATAACGTCAGCTCAGGGAGGTTTGGTCATCATTTCCATCTATGTAATATTAGTTGTATATAAAATGAGTTAATAAATCATTCCACTGTGTGCAATAGGTCAGTACAACATAAAAAACACAGTTTGAAAGGGGAGTGATTAGTAAAATATGCATAAATAAAAAGAAAGAATGCAGACTAGGTAAGATAAAGATAGGAGAGAGGAGTTGATCAAATATGTGTTATTGCTTGTGAGCAAGCAGGATTTTTGATGATTGAAATATATACTAGTACCCCCCCTAGAGGATGTGAGGTCATCACAAATAAAACAGGTTCACATGGATAGGATACTAGATAAGTGTGCACACTCATTATATACACTACACATTTTTCTTGGATTTATTAACACTATAGCCCCTAATATATTTGTAAAAAGGCAGGAAATGGAATTAAATTGAGAAAATGTTTCATTGCCCCCTGTTTTGTGTCCCCCCCACTTCGCAAACCAAAGTTACACCCTTACACCCACACAATGCAAGTACACTATTACTGTAATATTTACATTTACCTATCTTCAAATGGATCCTTGTTGCTGTATTCTTCTTCTTCAGGAGAGTAGAAGCCTCCAGGTTCTGATGCTCCATCTCCACTGCTGCTAGTGTTACAAGTCCGCTGTGCAGAGCTGGTAATCAGATAATAAGCCTGTTGATCAGGAGAAAAGAATGAAGCAGAGGGAAAGTTGCTGCCGTTTGTGTGGTCGTTCTAGCCAGAATGTATTAAACAAATTAATAAATTCACTTACAAATTATATCTGTTTTCTCTATTTATCATTCTTTGTGTAACCGGTCTGGATTGACGCCACATGTATCTCTGCGTTGTGTCGAATGAAAACGACTTCCTTCTTGTCAACCAGGTTTATTATCTGTGCAAACAGAATATAATGACAGCAGGAAATGGCTTCACCAGCTTTCTACCTCAATACTTCGCCTCGGTGAGGCCTGAAGCTAACTGAGAATGTAAACATACATTTAGCAAATCAAAATAACCGTATGACATATGTGTCTCTAATAAAAAATGGACATAAATCCACATGCCATATTATGACTTTGATGAAGGATTAAAGCCTTTTTCATTTACAGTATATAATACAGTGATTACAGATAACACACACACAACCCGGTCGACTGTACTCACTTTAACATTGCTATGTTGTACAGGCACACTATTAGCATAGCATTAGCGCTTTAGCATTTAAATAATATGAACAATTATGACCTCAGACCAGCATTTCACATATTTATACAAACAGAATAAACTTGAAATGTAAGCCAAACTAGTGCAAGGGAGTCATACACATGGTAACATGGTAGAGCCCTACATTATTCAGGGAGCAACAGCCTGTGCTAAAGAAGCTAGCGGACGCCATTAGCCACACGCTAGTGGCGTAGCTCACAGAATGACATTAAACTACACATAAAACAGTTTCAAACACACTTCTTTGATCGAAATATGACATAATCTGTGTCCACACTACTAACCGGTTGAACAGGAGAAATGAATGAAGCAGATGGGAACGTTGCTGCCATGTGTCTGGTCCTTCCATGGATGTATAATCGTTCTTCTTCTTCTTCTCTCGGTTTTTTGGCGGATTGCAAACAACTTTAAGGTGCATACCGCCCCCTACTGTACAAGAGCGTGTATCAACATATCATCCTGTCAGCACTTGTGGAATTATACCACTGTGTTTACGTTGTTTTCAATTCTTCCAATCAATCCTTTTTCACTCAAATACTTAAGAATGGCCTTCCTGGTAGCTCTTACCCCCTCACCTTCTGTTCCCAGTATCCCCATCAGGCTCCACTCTCCCTGTCTCTTAGTTTTTCCCTCTCTGTTTTGTACATGTTGCAGTGTAATATGATATGTTCCACATTTTTTTTAACTCCACAGTTCCTACGACATAGAGTAACATTCAATGCTGTGTGATCCAGTCTGAGTCTAGCTATCATGATTTCCTAGATTAAGTTATATGAGTAATTCTTCTCTGATAGTTGTTGTTGACTGTATACTTTTTAAAATGGATAATGAATCTGTGCATATCACCACCCTATCTGGTCTGACCTCTTCAACCCACTGTAATCCTATTATTACAGCCAGCATTTCTGTTGCACACTGATAATTGATCTGACGCTCTTTTTGAAATTGATATTTTAAAGTCTGGGATATATATATACCAACTCCAACACACTCTTCCTTGTTCTTAGAACCATCGGGCGGTGGTGGCGAAGTCCATAGGGGCTTGGCAACTGGAAGGTCACCAGTTCAAGTCCCGGAAAGACCAAGTGCTACCGAGTTGTCCCTGAGCAAAGCACCGTTCCCTACACTGCTCCCCGGGTGCCGTACATAATGGCAGCCCACTGCTCCTAACACTAGGATGGGTCAAATGCAGAGAAACCGTTTCGTTACACGGTACCTGTACTGTGTAATGACAATAAGTTGAATCTATCTATCTGTGTTGGCTATATTTTGAGGTAATTGTGATAATGATTGATTAATTGTTGATTGCACCTATACACAACCGTAATGCTTTATATTGTAATCTATCCATTTTTAGTAATGACGTTTTTGCTGCTGCTGCATATATATTATACACCCGTAATCCAGAGTTGTCCTCATAATTGCCCTATAGATGTCAATTAGTGCCTGTTTGTCTGCCCCCAGTCTCATCCAGCCACTGCTCTTAATAGGTTCAAAACTTTTTGGGATTTTGTTTCCAAATGTTTAATATGGTTTTTCCATGTACATTTACTATCTAACCATAGCCCCAGATATTTAAATGCATTGACCTCATTCATCGGCTTTCCATATGATGTAAGCTTCTCAGTCTCCATCTTGCGTTTATTTGTAAATGTCATGAAGCAAGATGTGCTTGCTGACAGTTTGAAACCCCAGTTGTATGACCACTTCTGGAACATTTCTTCCCCTTATCCATATGTCCCCGTCATCTGCATACAACGCAGATTTGATGCATCCGTCCAACTTAGTCAATATGTCATTTATCATAATGTTAAATAATATCAGGCTGATTGAACTCCCTTGGGGAATACCATTTTCTATATTGAAGTCTTTCGAAACCTCTGCCCCTACTTGAACTCTGAATTTCCTGTCTGAGCCAAGATGCTGTTACTGTCACTGTTACTGTCACCTGTCACTTAATTTGATGAGTAACCCATCCCTCCACATAGAGTCATAAGCCTTATCAATGTCAAAATATACTATTGCCATAACCTCTTTCATTTTCAGTGTCTTCACACTGTATTCCCACCTCATTGATCACTCTAACCAAAGCATTGTGGATCTTCCTTTGCGAAAACCAGTCTGGAAATTACTCAGCAACCCTCTTTGTTCTAAGACATGTCTATGTCATCTTCTCCATCCATTTACACAAGTGTGATGTTAATGCTATGTCTGTAGTTACTGAATACCTTGTTTTGTTCTTTAATAGCTCTGCTACATTCCTCATTCCACCACGGCACCACTTTCTTCCTATACCCTCTGTTGTTCTTTTTGGTATAATTATATTTGCTGCTTCTTTAATGTGCATTGTGATTTGATTTGAGCACTCCTCTATACTTCCTTCTAATGCTAACAATTGTGCTGACTCCTTACAGCGAATTCTACATTTCTCCCAGTCTGCTTTACCAAAGCACCACCTGGAAAATATACTCACTTCCTATTTGTGTTGATGATAGAGAATACTGGGTAATGATCACTTCCTATGGTATAGTCACGTTTACATTCCATTCACACGATTTAACTAAACTATCCGTCACAAGTGTGAGGTCCAAACATGATTGTGTCCCCCTATTCACGTCTATTCTTGTTTTTTGTCCATCATTAAGGCAAAACAATGATCTTTCCTCTAACATCACCATTACTGTCTGTTTGACTGCTTCCGCATAGGCTGTTGTGAGCATTAAAATCACCACACCATACTTCCCTTCTATGACTCGTCCCTGCTATTGTCTGTAAAGTTTCAATGTGAAGATTTTTACACGGGTTATAGAAATGTACAAGCTTTATGCTTCCTTCTTTCATTGGGCTGCACATTTCTACTATGACACATTCCTTGTCTTCAGGGGATGGAACTATGCTATTGGGTAGTAAATGTGTTTAGGTTAGGTAATTAATCTGGTACTGAGAGTTATTACAAAGCACTGTTCCTAAAGGCTAAATATAATTAATTGTTTACTTTTTTCGTTGTCTACTAAACCGGAAGCTAAAGAAATGGGCGGGGCAGGGCAGGGCCGGCCCTGACCAATTTGCCGCCCTAGGCAATATTTTAGCTGGCGCCCCCCCCCCCCAAAATGCAGACACTCACTATGACTCGCGTGTGCACGGTTGTGGCATGACCACCAAAACAAAGATATTGACACAAGATGTGTGCAACTGTATTTAGTTTCCTATCCATTTGAACATGATTTAAGTGGGGGGGGGACCTCACCTCCTCTAGTGGGGTCCGGGGGCATGCAACCCCGGGAAGACTTTTTTTTTTTAATATTGAAGTTAAAAGCATCAATCTGGTACACTTTGAGAGCAACATTAGGAGATCTATGGATACATCTCTCAACATCCATATGAAACAGAACTGTAAGCAGATTTTCTTTTTCTTTATGGATATTTTACAAATCACTCCCCTTTCAAACTGTATTCTTGTTTATTAATAACAACCTATTTGTACTGTCAGTATTTTATACCTGTTTTTCACCTATTCTCTTATTTTTTTATAACTATAATGATCATATGAAGGTGTGCCTTATATGATGAGCTGAGGTTATCAGAGCCTCTCAGTCTTTCAGGAGAGAGCTCTCTAAAGCTCGCCCCCCGCGGCTGCTTACACAGTAAATTCCAATGTTAATAAAAGCACACAGAAGCTGTGTAAGTTTTTTTGGGAGTTTGATTTATTTTAAATGAATACAAATACAAAATTAAAACCTATAATTGCACACTAAAACCCTTATTTTAAAAAAAGAACAATTTCACATAAACCTCTGGTTTTTACTGGGACTGGGGCAGTTCAACTTGATTTGGGGGGGGGGGGTGCCATAGTTTATGGGCGCTGTACGCAATATAGGCGTAGTTCTGTTAGTATAAGATAATAAGATGTACTTTGTTGATCCAAAATCGGGAAATTGTGTTGTTATGAAATAAAAAAAGTTTTTTTTTAAATGTCTAATTTATTTATTTTTCGGCGCCCCCTATGCGCCCTTAGCATTCGCCTATATTGCCTATGCCGAGGGCCGCCCTGGGCACAAGGCAGAAGGCAGAAGAAGAATCTTAGTTGTAGAAACAGTAGACTCGTCGAAAAATGTCCACGAGAAACTTCATCTTGCATTGCAAAAGGACAATAAATGACTGCACAAGACTTCTCCAAACAGATGATGGTCATGCTGTGTTACAATCCACAATAGTGAGGTAAGGGCCCAGCCTATCGCTACTATCGAACACAAAGGAATGCAGTTTGTTTTTGCATGTAACTTACTGAGGGGCTGTGAGATCTTTCACACTTACAAATTCTGTCTTCTCCCCTATTTCACCAAACCGTTTACTGGCAGGTTAGAAACAATGAAGAGGAGCATCGAGTGGTCACGGGGCAGGCTAATTAACGTCCATACAGATCTTTTACTTCAGGACCTTCGGGAATATATAGATGAAGTCCGGAGATCTTGGCCTACCACAACCGCACAACAAGGTAGGTCGATGTGATGTTACTTTGGTGTTCGTGACAGGTCCTGTTTTAACTGCTATTACATGAACACAAAAACCATTAATCATCACCACATTTAATGTAACACCCTTTCAAACTGTAGATATTGTATCAGACTACTGGTGGTATACATGAAAAACTGCAGTAAATATACAAAGAATATACACCTAAGGGGATGGGCACATAAGAGCAGGAAATGTATCAAATTGTTGCGTGTGCCAGGTGTGATTCACATGGGGGGGATGGGCACATAAGGGGTGGGGGTGTGTGTGTGTTTTATCTGATCCGGATGGTTACTAATTCCTTTTCATTATGGCTGTCATTTTTGAGTAAATCATCCAAAATTCAATGAAAGTGGTGATCAGCAATTGTATTCAAATGTCTACTGTGAAGGATATCATAACGCCTTAATGCAATCGAATGTAAAACTAAAAAGTTATAATTGATGAAAGTAGTAAATCGGTCAGATTTGACCCGAACACAACAGGAGGGTTAAAGTAATTATTTTGTATTAAAATATCGGTAATACCAATACAAAAAGTTTTTAATCTGTAGTTGCCAGCTATTAATTAGCACATTCTGGTGAGACGCTGAGTCTGGAGTTGTCCACTGAAACCTTAAAACTTGACTCCAAATTCCACCTTTATCTCCTGCTGCACTAGATGCTATTCCCCCTCCCCTATCGTGAGAAGTCTGGCCAGCTGTCATTGTAGAACACATACCACGTATCATCAAACGTGGGAATGAGGACATTGAAAGTGCGCCAGAGGGGGGAGTCTCTGGCCCTTTCTCATTTCACTAATTCCCCTCCTCGACTCCTATCCTCATGTCTTAGTCCTTAGTTTCAGAATCAAACAGAGCACTGTCATAATAACGTCACACTATCAGAGACTGGATATATCCCCATCCACATTTTATGTTTTTGTTCATACTGTATACTACAACTATAGTGTGTTGCATGTCCACTGGTTTAATGCCAAACTGCATTTCCTTTTCATCGTAACTTTTGGCTGGGCAATGACACTAAAGTGTGGGTTTCCGGCACAACGACAGAAATGCAACAATGACAATAAATGTAATCTAATCTTTTGCTGTTGTTGCAGGTCATTCTGGCTACCACGCCCCACTCATTCTGTTGGGTGGCCGAGGTCCCCCACAATACAGCATTTCGAGGGAGCAACTCTCTTTTTTGAGGAGCTGTGGTTTTACAGCTACAAAGATGGCGCAGATATTAAAAGTATCTCTGCGCACAGTGAGACGGCGTTTGAGGTATGTAGCAATTTCTTCAATATTGGAATGGGCTTCTTGTCTCTTTATTGTAAACATCCCAAGGAGGGGTTGTAGCCATGTTACACTATGCATGTTGTAAAGTAATTCTGAATACCGTAGGTCTCATATATTTAAAACATGTTTATGTTTCAGGCAGTTCCACAGGCCTGCACCTTGTCGTGGTGAGTGGGCTTTCAACCAAGCCAGGCCACACCGTTGAAAAGTACTGATCTAATAACAGATTTGTTCTTGAATCAACTTTTTCATGTAATTTTATTTCATTTTAAATAAAATGAAACATTCACAGTTAATGTAATTAGATTATACATTATTAATGCCATATATTTTTGCATACATTCACAGTACATATTTATTCAGTATGATAGTCTAACAGAAGTTACATCCATTTCTCACTTATTCTGACAATCTACTTAACCCAAAATAAAAGAACCCAATAAAAATAGTTGTTAAATAATAGAGAAGTCAAGTTATAATATGAAGTCACGTTGTAATAACAATAACTAATCTAACTAACTAACTAATCTCTCTCGTTCAGATTAATATTGTCGGGTGTTCTTTTTCTGCTTTGCCAAAGACCACTGTGTCAAGTGTCCCATTTGGGTTGCCGTATGTAGCAGACCATCTCGCACATGCGCAGTACAGATCGGGCAGGGGGTGCAGATCATGTGGGCAGATCGGTAGTGACAGAGGTAATCGTCGTAACCAGCAGTCTTCATCCGCCTCTATCCAGTCTTTGACACTTGGAAAACGAGCACATGTGATACTGGTTAGGATAAACTAATGTTAATATATATATATATATATATTAATATAATTTCACATACCGAAACGTTAACGCTTGTCTGAGTATATCTTCCGTTGACTCTGGCTGTGGGTCTTACCGGCTGTTGATAGCCCTTATAAGCTAACGCTAGCATGCTTTATTCAGACATTAGCCTTTAGCCCGCTTGGATTTATGGGTGGCTAACGTTACTACAGTCCGGTAGCTCATTTAAGAAAATGTAACGTTATTTATGGGAAACGTTAGCCTACGTGTGTCTGGCCGTGACTGACTGAGTAGGCCGTAAAAGCTTGTGCTAATGTTTAGCATGCGCTAACGTTTATCTTGTGCTAATGTTTAGCATGCGCTAACATTTAGCATGCTTTATTCAGACCACGCATTATCCAGTGAAGAACACTCAGCAGAGCATATATTTCTCAACACAACATTAACTGTAACGTTAAATGTTCTTAACCGAACTAGTGGACTGTAAAAACACTACCCACCCATGACTCCAATTCGACTACAGGCAGGGGCGGACTGGCCATCGGGACGTTCGGGACGAATCCCGATGGGCCGGTAGCCCGGTACCGAAGTGGGCCGGTCGGACCAATCGACGCGGCCCACTGCCCCACTCCGATCGGCCCACTTCGGTACAGGTGAAATTGTAATCAGCTTAATGCTTGGCCCATGTAGTAAACGTGGATCGCTTTATTTAGTGATCGGATACGATCGGAAAAGCATTCCATGTAAACGGGGCTATTGATAGGTTGTCAAACTTGTCAATCTTATGTTTTCGAAAGTAGGCAAATAGATGAACTGAAGGGGTTGGGCCGGGAGAGATGAGTCGTCTCTTCCAATTGGAAAGAGGGCGAGGCCCGCGTCAGAGGTCCACTCATCAGACAAGCTCCCTAGCTTCGTTTGATGATTAATCAGTAAGTTAGCTAGCGAAATTGAGAAAGACAAGATGGAGAACAGTAAAAAAAGAAAGGGTGGGGCTGAAAAAGCCAGAATGAAAAAAACAAAATTGCTACACGAAGATGCTGGAACATTTTCGAAAATCACAGAGCTGTTTAGTAGAAGGGCTCCCGCTCCCAGTCGCAGTAATAAGGAGGAGAATGAGAAGGAAGATGATGAACCACAGACCCGGCATATAATGACAGCAGGTGCAGTGTGCAGGGCTGTGTTAATTTATGTTACTGTTAGCAATAGCATTAGTTGACTGAGAAAACCGTCAAGAAAAAAGTTTAGCGATGTTACGACTAGTATAATATGCCCACGGCTGTGATTGACAACCTGGACAGCCAGTCAGAAGCTAGAATGCTAACCTAGAGAGCCAATCAGAACCTAGAACGGGCTGCAGGGCTTGCCAGACTATTATATTGGGCATACAGTTAGATGCATTAGGATAGAGTCATATGCTCATGATATTCCAAGTTAAATTATATAATATTAATATTATAATTTTAAATAATTATATTAAATAATATTAATATTCAATAATATTAATATTGCATAATAAGGACACAGAGATGTGTGGCCAATTCACTATTGCATTCATTTTAGTGATTGACATTACTGTGCATGATATTGTATTCCTTGAAGTTGGTTATTTAATACTGGACAAGTGCTCTCATAATGACTATTAGAATCATTTGTTGGTTAGACCACATGGCATTGATTGAATATCTGAGCTGCATGTGCATTGGCACTTCTTTTTGTTTACAGCCAGGCACAGGCAACCATTTTTGACTATACCCATACTTTGTCCTTAATCCCAATTGTACATTCACGTTACTGACTCCTACAGTCAGCCCCTTTGACACACTTCACACATGACACAGACATTTTTAAGAAACCTTAACTAAAGGAAGGTTTCATTTTGCACCTTACTTCTGTTGTCCATCTCTTTTATGTTATGGCTTGACTCTGGGGAATCTAGCCATAACAGTATACAGTATATGAGCATAGTAGATGTATCATTCATTTATCTGTAGGCTACAAGGGTGGCCCGCATGCGTGGGCGGCGGCCCGGTGTGTGGGCCGGTGCGTCTGAACGTCCCGGGCTGAATTTGTGTCCCAGTCCGCCCCTGACTAAAGGCTAAAGTCAATGTCTGAATAAAGCATGCTAGCGTTAGCGGTCTACCAGCATGAGTCATGGCCAGATTCAAAGGTAAATATTAGGGATGCACCGAATATTCGGCCACCGAAAATTATCGGCCGAAAATGGTTAAAAAGGCCCTTTCGGTTTTCGGCCGAAAGGGTTTTAGCACCGAAAAAATATCACCGAATGTCAGAACAGGCTTACGTTGGTAACCTAACGTGTTGTTGTGATGACGTAATAAAGACGCGGCGACCATGCTCGCGGCTGGCTCACAGGGGGGGGGGAACATTGACCTTTGTCATCTAGATTGCCCTGAGCCTTTAACAAATCGTATTCAATAATCTGATGACAGACTGTAAACAGAATAGCTGAAATTTTAACAAACTAAATAACTCAGTTTCCTCTAATCATTAACCCATGTTTGTATCATGTAGTTAACTCCGTGTGTTGCTGCTAGCATACATAACACCTGACGTGGAAACGTTACTCGTGATGGAGCTACATAGCTGCTAGAAAGACAGTCGAACCCGGTACATTCCTCCGTCTGCATGCGGTGCACTTTTGCTAAATGTTTAGACAAATTGCTCGTGCTTACATGCAAAACTCTTATTGCACTTATGGTAACAAGTATTCTCCACATCGAGACGGGTAAAGTTTAACCACACCTCGGAGCGCGTTCTCTCCGCCACCTCCGCAGTGTGCTCCGCTGCATGTAGCAGCTGCGTGTGTGTAAACTGCCCCGCCCCCTCGCACACAGACGGGGGAGAGAGATCTCGTCTGATCGAAAATACATCATAGACGCATTTGTTGTCTTTGCATATTAGAAACGAGTTGGCGACACTAAGACTGCGATATAATGTTGTTTAGCAATAATACATGACTTATATAAATGTACTGTATGCATTCAAAAGTGCTGAATAAATGTTTTATGGACCCATAATAGTGATTATTATTTAAGTTAAGTTTTGCCATAATCATGTCTATTTCCATAATCAGGTAGCTGAACAACATTGGTAAAAAATGTATACATTATATATATATATTTCTATTAATCATTTTCGGCCTTTCGGCATTCGGTTTTCGGCCAACTGTTTCCTATTTTCAGTATCGGTTTCGGCCAAGAATTTCCCATTCGGTGCACCCCTACTCAGAATCATTAAGAACACAGCAGTGGCCAAAAGTGTTTCCAATCCCGGTCTTCTCCTATGACACAGAATGTCAATTACAGAGAGGAAATGCAGAGTACACAAAGAACCAATCTAGACTGACACCAAGCTCAAATCATCTGCAGAGCTTGCTGTGAACTCGTTGAAGACCAAGTCTCAAGAAGAGTCCTACCCTGCGAAGAATTTTAAAGAGAGCCAGGCGAGCTGATGCCAACCATTTTCCATCCTTGCCGATTGGTGAGACTCCAGAAAGCATGGAGCAAGAGACAATTTCCCTTTTGGCAGAACAACAGAAAAGAAACAACCGGCAATCAATAAAAGAAAAGATGGCGAAGGCGTTTGGATACTGAAGACAAGAAATAGTGCATCGGAGGCCAAGCATTGAAGGCCTCTTGGAGCGGTGGCCTGCACTTTTTCACATGGAAGAGGTAATTATTTTGATGAAACCCTTGATTGTAAGCCTGTAGTGGAGAAGAATTGAGGGCCCAACTAACTAACAACTATAGACAGCCGAGGCAAATATGTTGACGTTTATTTTTTAATATATATCACAATATAAGCTTTACATCTATTACTCTTAGTGTCTTTATTTGGTGGTGGTTTTCAATAAATATGTGGATTAATTAATTTAAATGTTACATTCATACAAGCTGACTTGGAGTACTTTTAATCAAACCATTGGCTCTTTATAAAAAACATGTGTATTATAAATTCTTAGTATTTTTTGTTTTCTATGCTGCTTATATTTTCTAGGTAAATGCTGAGTTAATGCGCATAACAACAATTCCATTGGAGACAAAGTTCTTGGCGCAGTTGGACAAACACTCAGGTCATCAGGAGCAGGGGAGGAGTTGTGAAACAGAAGACCACCGGGATCTTGCAGGTTTTGGATGAGGTATCTATGAATGAGTTTATCTGTGGGATCAGTGGCTGAATCCTCCTTTATTTGCATTTAATTTATTATATATATATATCTCTGTTCTTACTCAGACTGTGGACATCGCCATCAGAAGAGAATGCGTCCTCAAATCTCTAATGATCTACCTGGGTGAACCTGTTGACCATCTCATCAAAGAATTCCAGGTAAGACCTCCCACTCACTCACAAGAAGTTTGTTCATAAAAGAAAACATATTTGTACTGCATGCAAATAACTGCTTGGTTAGAAAGATAGTCATTTGTGATGACCTCCTGAGCTTTCCTCTTGGGCCGACTGAACTGACACCTCAGGCCTGTTGAACTACACTCTGTGGTCCTCATCCATTCCCCTTTTTTTTGCATGATCTGCAGGACGCTGAGGCTGGAGAACTGGAGCAGGCAACAATGGAAGCCTTTGACACTGGGAAAGAGGATCAGCTTCATCGACCCAAAGACGTCAAGGTTCTCATCGAAGGAACAGAGGTCCTCAGCGGCTTGCCCTCGGTTGCGACAGCTTTTGCCATGCTCTTCGGGCTCATATACGCACTGAAATGGGGCGAAGCCTGCGAGCTAGTTCAGGCAGTCAACTCGAGCACTTATGCTGCATTCATACATAACGCCCCCTTGCCACTCTACAACCAACCAAACAGAGTCTCCTTAATATGCCGCTCTATTTAACCTGCCAGATCTCTCTCCATGCATTGCTTGCTGCTGCTATTGCTGCAGATACCTCTACGTCGCTGCTGCTCGCTGCCCCACCACCACCCCAGCTTCCACCTGTAGGCTCGGGGGTTAGTTATTTGATCATCACTCATCGTGCTATGTATATCTATGGAGTGATGATGCCCGAGCCTAGTCGCCAAACTCAACTATATGCTGCTTCTAATAAACATGTTAAAGGAACACGTGAGTTGTCTGACTGAACTTAAGATATCAGAAATAACTGCAATCCACTTTTGAAGTTGTGCAAAAAGTCCTGATGGAGGGGAAAAAGATGAGCCCAAAAGTGAATAGACTGAGAACCCAGCTGGTAGACACTTTGTTGCACTCACTCACAGTTACCATTGTTACATGGTAAGGTTTCTAAAACCAAGGTTTTATAATAATTATGCATTGTAAAACATTTGCGAAAAAGTGTCAGAAGTTGCACTTACAGTATGACCGATTTTCACTGTAGAAGTTATGCATGTCTAATCATTTTCAGAGATTACATGTCTCACAGGCGCACGTTGTCAGTGTTGCTTTAAAAAAGTGTGCAGTGGATAATAAGGACATGTCTTTTTTCTAAGAGTTTGATGTTTGGAAGCGGCCCACGTATTACCGCATTTTAACTGTGGTACTTATTAACATGTCTAAGATCAGGTAATGGCTGCCTCAGAGGCCAAAGCTGGTTGTGTGAACAACTTGTTTTTCATTCAAATAAATGTGCTCTGGTGTTAAAATATACAGATTGATCTGAAGAAATTGAGTCAATGTAAAATATTTCGTGTGATTGATTACTCTAATATTTTTTTGTTGGTACAACGTTTTACTTTTATTAGTGTACCTTTCAGTTGCATTGCACTCCTTAAACGTGTTTGAGACACTTTAGATAACAATGTGGCTGTCATTTGATTAACTCTGAAAATACAGAGGTTTTTATTGAATAAATCACCCAAAAATCACATGAATTGAGTTACAGGTGTCCCCTCAGCTGTGCAGACTTATTTAATAATACGATAGGAAATTGTGGAGTAAAGTTAATATCTATCTTGTACACACACACACTTTTCCTCTACTGATTATATTACTGGATGGAAACTGAAAGCACGGGAACATTAATAAACTACACAACAGAAAGTATGAATAACATTAATGAAATTGTGACTGTCCTTAAACGTGTTTGAGACACTTTAGATAACAATGTGGCTGTCATTTGATTAACTCTGAAAATACAGAGGTTTTTATTGAATAAATCACCCAAAAATCACATGAATTGAGTTACAGGTGTCCCCTCAGCTGTGCAGACTTATTTAATAATACGGTAGGAAATTGTGGAGTAAAGTTAATATCTATCTTGTACACACACACACTTTTCCTCTACTGATTATATTACTGGATGGAAACTGAAAGCACGGGAACATTAATAAACTACACAACAGAAAGTATGAATAACATTAATGAAATTGTGACTGTAGATATGTTTATACTTTATATTATTTACTGTAAATGTTTAATTTAGATTTAATTATTGTGATTATTTTCTATCTAAATCTCACAATGGGGTAGGTTACAGGAACTTTTCATCAACAGATTGCTTTAGTCTGGCTTAACTCTTCACTGATTGGTTGCACACACTTTAAATGTACTGGCTATGCAAAACAGAAGGTGGGGCTCATTATCATATTAAAAAAACGCGCGTTTTAAACGGGCGAATAGTGGCACTTGAGGCTTTCCATATGTATAAGGGGGAAGTGTCCTATTCGAGCGCTGTTGCAGCTAGAAGGCGAGGGTTTTTCCCTGGCTCCTCCCTCTCTTACAGGGCGTTCACGTGTTGCAACAGGCACAAAACAAGCTATTCCCACGCATTGTTTTTGCTGACTTCATTGCATGCACTTACATCCCAATTATTCCCTTTCATCCTGCTGCGTTTGATTGGTGAAGTAGGCGACCCTTGCACAAAAAAATAATCTGTGCATCACTTTAAAATTACGTTTTTTAATGATAATTGTATTAATTATAACATCGCCAATAACTCTGCGTTATTTACATAACACACCTCCTGTAGATCCTCAGGTGTGAACGGAAATCATCATTAGTCACCTGTTAGTGCATTCCAGCCCGCCTGTTTGTCGTCCACAATGAGGTTCGCCAGCTCATTGTTTCTGACGTCTTCTAAATGGTGCTTGAATGTCTCTTTGTCCCCGGCACATGTTTCTCTCAGCGGCTGCTTCCTCAGCTCCTGCGTCTCATGGATCCTCTCCTCTGGAATAAGAGCAAAATGTTTGTTTAGTTTAATGTGAGCCACAATTATCCAAAAGCAAGCACTGTGGGGTGAGGTCGCAGCGCCAACATTTATTAATCTATTAAATTACTATTTGTCATAGGCAGTGGAGCATGAAAATAGTGTCTGGAGCAGGAAGACCAAACAGGATGCACAGCAGGAACGGTAAGAACCACACACACATACACACACTGTACCTCGTTTTCTTTGTGACATGTCCCATTGGTAAAAAGACAATGCAATGATAAACATGGATACCGCATATATGAGGAGCTGCTTGAATCCACTGTACTGTGCCATAGCAACAGGGGAGCTGTCAATGAATCAGAAACAAAAAGATTGACATTTTAGTGACACTAAATATGATGAATGATGGTAAAAGCCATTATCCCTATTTCTTCCTGATTGAATACTGTATAAATAGTAGGGGTGCACCGAATGGGAAATTCTTGGCCGAAACCGATACCGAAAATAGGAAACAGTTGGCCGAAAACCGAATGCCAAAAGGCCAAAAATGATTAATATTATAAATATATATATATATATATATATATATATATATATATATATATATAATGTATACATTTTTTACCAATGTTGTTCAGCTACCTGATTATGGAAATAGACATGATTATGGCAAAACTTAACTTAAATAATAATCACTATTATGGGTCCATAAAACATTTATTCAGCACTTTTGAATGCATACAGTACATTTATATATGTCATGTATTATTGCTAAAAAACATTATATCGCAGTCTTAGTGTCGCCAACTCGTTTCTAATATGCAAAGACAACAAATGCGTCTATGATGTATTTTCGATCAGACGAGATCTCTCTCCCCCGTCTGTGTGCGAGGGGGCGGGGCAGTTTACACACACGCAGCTGCTACATGCAGCGGAGCACACTGCGGAGATGGCGGAGAGAACGCGCTCCGAGGTGTGGTTAAACTTTACCCGTCTCGATGTGGAGAATACTTGTTACCATAAGTGCAATAAGAGTTTAGCATGTAAGCACGAGCAATTTGTCTAAACATTTAGCAAAAGTGCACCGCATGCAGACGGAGGAATGTACCGGGTTCGACTGTCTTTCTAGCAGCTATGTAGCTCCATCACGAGTAACGTTTCCACGTCAGGTGTTATGTATGCTAGCAGCAACACACGGAGTTAACTACATTATACAAACATGCAGTGGCGGCGGGTCATTAGGGGCAGGTGGGGCACAGCCCCACCTAGTGTCAGAAGAAAGTATTACAAATAATGATTACAAAAAAATACTAAAAAATAAATAAAAAAACATATAAAATATATTTTAAGGTCATGTTTAATAATCTGATTCGTCTGTACATTTCTGTTTTAGTCTGTGTTCTTCTAATTAGTGTCTAGAGTGCCGTTTTGAGCTGTTTAGAGCCATGTGGGACACAACCCGATCCTGCCCCTCCCTCTCACAGTCTAAGTGAACGGTGATTGTAAAAACTACACTGCGCATGCTCAGAGTATTTTTCTATTTAATGTGTGTGGCAAAAAAATAGTGCTCCCATCCCCACCATACGTCATCTCACATAATTCAGAATTGATTGGCTGTAAGTACTCACGTGTGCAGTGCTGCGAAACGTCACGTGTAGTTTGAAGAGGAGACGAGAGAGCAGCATATAGCTAACATCACCAGCGATTAAAAGAAGTAAAAAACTGAAAGAAAATGAATGAAGTTGACCATTTACTGGAGCACACATTTGAGACACTTAGTCTCGGAGAGAAACTGGAGGTAAAGCGCCTCGGTGCCCACCATCCACCGGATTTCCAAATGGTCCAGACTGCGGGCAAAGTTAAACGTGGGTTTAACGCTGAGTGGTTTGCTAAAAAGAAATGGCTAACGGCGAGCATCCAGAAGAATTCCCTCTTTTGCTTTCCTTGCCTGCTTTTTGGTGAAGATCAAGGTACTTGGTCGAGGACAGGTTACAAGGACTTAAAGCATCTTTCGGAGAGGACAATGAAGCATGAGAGCAGCAACAGTCATTTGGAAAATGCCGTAAAATTGGGATTACTTGGAAGGGTGAATGTTGCAGCTCAGATTGACAGCGCCTACAGACGCGGCATTGATTCTCATAATAGGAAGGTGGAAGAAAACAGGTACGTGCTTGGTCGGATCATCACCTGTATTAAACTGTGTGGGAAATGTGAGACAGCACTGCGGGGCCACAACGAGTCGGCGGACTCTCTGAATCCAGGGATATTCAGGTCAATTTTCGAGACAATGTGTGAGGGCGATTCCAGGCTTCAACGGCACTACGAAGCTCAGCTTGTTTTCAAAGGGACATCAAGCACCATACAGAATGAACTCTTGGACTGCATGTATGATGTGTACAGGGAGGAAATAGCCAAGCAAGTGGACAACACATCATTTGTTGCCGTTCAGGCTGACGAGACAACCGATGTCTCCTGTAAATCGCAAATGGTGATTGTGCTGCGATACATTATGCCTGACCTCACAGTTACAGAGCGTTTTTTGGAGTTTGTGGAAGTAAAGGACAAAACTGGTGTAGGTCTCTCTAACAGCATCAAGGCTGTTCTGGAACCCCTGAAGCTGAAATAAAAGCTAATCGCTCAGACCTATGACGGGGCGGCCGTCATGAGCGGTAACGTGTGCGGGCTACAGACGGTGATGAAGGAGACGTACCCAAACGCTCAGTTTGTTCACTGCTACGCCCACCAACTGAACCTGACCCTGCAGCAACTGTGTTCAGCAAGGATGAGCATCCTGAAGGTGTTTTTTGCAGATCTAACTGCTTTTTCCACTTTTTTCTCCGGTGCTCCAAAACGTGTTGCAGCTCTTGCAGAGGCAACACAGAGACGCATCCCACGGCCACCGGCTGTGAGATGGAACTTTAAAAGCAGAACTGTGAACGCGGTTTGGGAGACCCGAGATGCACTACTTCAGTGTATGAAGCATATACGCGCACAACCAGGATGGGATGCGGTCACCATAAGTGAGGCATACGGCCTGTCAAAGAAACTGCGGGACCGAGCATTTATGCAGCTCCTGGAGTTTTTTTCGTTGCTTATGCCAGAAGTGGATGTTCTATACAACACTCTGCAAAAACGAAGCATCGATGCACCTGGGATCAACAGCGCGCTCTGCCGTTTCAAGGAAAATGTTCAGAAAATGAGGCAGAAAACTGATGCATTGGCCGCCACTGCTCATGATGGAACAGACGAGCCAGGCCGACGAGTCAGCAGCACAGCGCCGGTGATGAAGGAGGCTTGTGACACAGTCATCTCACAGGTGGAACAGAGGTTCTCACAGAGTGACCATTTGATCGCTGCAAAGCTTGTTGACAGCTCATTCTTCCCACAGCATGTCCTGTCATTTCCTACACCTGAGCTTGACTGCGCCGTGAAACTGTGGCCTGCGTTGGGAAACAAGGAGAAGTTGAAGTCTGAGCTGACCACGCTCTACCGCCACAGTGAGCTTCACACTGGAAACACTGCCCTGTCTCTGTTGAAATCCATTCACGAGAACAACTTGGAGGAAACGTTTGCTGAGACTGTTATTTTGGTCAAAATAATAGTGACAACTCCGATGACGACATCCGAGTCAGAGAGGAACTTTTCCACCCTCAAAAGGATAAAGACTTTCACTCGCAACACCATGGGACAGCCGCGACTTAACGCATTGGCCATGCTTTCAATTGAAAGCCAGTTGATCCAGCAACTACAGGACTTCATCCCCAAAGTGATAGACACATTCTGTCAGAGGAAGGACCGCCGTGCCGCTTTTCTTTTCAAGTGAGCCTTCAGCTTTGGTAAGTTCATTTATGTCATATATTTTGTTGATCTTCTGTGTTTTGCCTCTGCTGGATCGATTGATATTGTGACCTCGATGATGAGTGTCTGTGTTTTCCTTATATTTACAGTCTATGGTGTTTTAATGCTAAAGCATTACGGTTGTTGTTATTGTTAAGAATTACTTTGTGATGGTGACCTTTACTCCATGTATGAAGGTGCATTACTATGACATCCCCACGCTGTGTACGTAAATGTATGCGCTCACAGTGTTGCTCCTGTGGTCTTCAGTATGTAATTTGACACTCCCCCTCTCTCTCTCCTCCCCCCCCTCTCTCTGTCCCCCCTCTCTCTCCTCCCTCTCTCTGTCCCCCCCCCCTCTCTCTCTCTCTCTCCCCGACCTCTTTCTGCCCCCCCAGTTTTGTACACCTATAAACGCCACTGCAAACATGGGTTAATGATTAGAGGTAACTGAGTTATTTAGTTTGTTAAAATGTCAGCTATTCTGTTTACAGTCTGTCATCAGATTATTTAATACGATTTGTTAAAGGCTCAGGGCAATCTCGATGACAAAGGTCAATGTTCCCCCCCCCTGTGAGCCAGCCGCGAGCATGGTCGCCGCGTCTTTATTACGTCATCACAACAACACGTTAGGTTACCAACGTAAGCCTGTTCTGACATTCGGTGATATGTTTTCGGCGCTAAAACCCTTTCGGCCGAAAGCCGAAAGGGCCTTTTTAACCATTTTCGGCCGATAATTTTCGGTGGCCGAATATTCGGTGCATCCCTAATAAATAGTGTGTAAATACCAGTCGGAGTGCTGTGTAAGACATAAAGGAAGGTGTCACATATTTCAATTCAAAGTGCACTGGGCTCGACATTCATAAAATGTGGTTTCTAGATCTATAAAACTAATATTTTATTGTGTCCTACGGAAGGACCGAAGAAACACACATACAATTAATTTAGAACACATTTGCAAAAAGCAGCTAAGAGCTACAGAAATTCAAGGCGTCACCTCAGGAACTAACACAATTCAGTAAATACATTAAACACTCAGACTCTGATCAGATGAACTCACAGAGGGATGCATGAGTGGTTATAATGAAACAACTCAAATTGTTTTGATACTGCTACAATCCATTTAAACACCACTCACCTTGCTGATAGCTGTTGGGATGAAGTGCACTGTGAGGGTCTGGTTGACTGTAAAGCAGGAGACAAGATGAACAGGACTGTTCCTAGTCTGCCATGGCCAGTGTTGTGATACATGGGCTTGTGTGTGTGAGGTTTTTGGCCGCGGCGGGGTTTTGTTGGATATAAGGGGGAAGTGTCCTATTCGAGCGCTGTTGCAGCTAGAAGGCGAGGGTTTTTCCCTGGCTCCTCCCTCTCTTACAGGGCGTTCACGTGTTGCAACAGGCACAAAACAAGCTATTCCCACGCATTGTTTTTGCTGACTTCATTGCATGCACTTACATCCCAATTATTCCCTTTCATCCTGCTGCGTTTGATTGGTGAAGTAGGCGACCCTTGCACAAAAAAAAAATCTGTGCATCACTTTAAAATTACGTTTTTTAATGATAATTGTATTAATTATAACATCGCCAATAACTCTGCGTTATTTACATAACACACCTCCTGTAGATCCTCAGGTGTGAACGGAAATCATCATTAGTCACCTGTTAGTGCATTCCAACCCGCCTGTGTTAAAGACATAGCGTTACAGTCGTTACAGCGCAGCGCTTGAAACACCATATGTTTTGTTTTTTCCCTTCTCGTATCAGTATCAGGGTGTTTCCCCAAATATCTGCACAAACACGCACACACGAACACACACTGGCACGCACGCTCACACACAGAGGCACGCAGACGGACTGACAGGACTGACAGACACGCCAGAGAACAAGTGCAGGTCTCTCTCCTCCGCCTCAGCGTCCGCTCCGTCGATCCTGAACTGAAACCAAACCGTGCATCGTAGGTGAGACGCTCCTTATGTTTCTAGCGGGTTTTTTTTTTCAAGCGACCTGCTGCACACACACGCACGCACGCACACACACACACACACACACACACACGCACACACACACACGACTCTATATAACCGAAAATCCACAGTGAGATGATGTCATTGCGCCAGCGCCACATGTAACTGTATGGAGCAAAAAACCATAATCCAGTTGTAGTAAGTGTTATGTAATATCGGTGTGGAGGGAAACAAAGTCTGATTCCTGGACCACTGCTGCTCTGCAACGTGCATTGCTCCTGCAGGAGGTGGAGGTGTTACATGGGGACATGTTGGAGGTGATGCAAGGGAAAGGGAGAGCTTTTTAAATATGATTAATGAGGTCTTTTATTCATGATGTTAAAATTCCAACACACTAGACTTCATTCCATCCATGGTGTCTTTTTTTGTTTCATTTCTTCCTCTGTTTGTTTTCCCGCCATTGTAATAGTCTTCCCCACCCTGGCTTGTTCCACCTGTGCTTCATGTCAATGAGTCTTTTGTGCTTTTGTGTATTTAGTATTAGTTTCCTCACTTTCTATATCATTTTGTCATCACTTCCTGTATTATTTCCCTTGTTGTTTCACCATGTCCTAGTTATCTCCCTGTCTTTTGAGTTTCTAGTACAGTAGATCTTGTTTTCAACTATTGTGGATTTGCTTATTTGTTACCCACCTCCTGGCATCTTTTTTCTATAATCCTAACCCCTTAAACAATAATTCCCCAGACTTTTGTGCAAAGACAAATGCCTTTAAATAACCACAATGCTTATAATAACTTAAGTTGAGGTGGTTGAGTATTTGTCATGTCCTTAACAGATTGTTCTTTGCTCAGCAGTGAGTTAGTAGTCATGACATCCTCTCAACCATCCAGCAGTTCTCTAGGCCTTTTGTAGCCGAACATCCTGAAGTCCTGCTCATAGAGCTTGTACAGCTTCCTCCTGTCCTCTAGGGGCACTGCGCTGAACCAGTCTAACAGAAAAGCAGGTGTGGTCATGTTTTCATAGGAAGGAGGGAACTGGATGTCATCCTGCAGCATTAGGATCTTCAGCAGCTGTGAGGCGTCCTGCTGAAGAGTCTCCTGATGGCCCACGAAATCATACCTGGCAGGTCAAACAAACTCAGGTCAAACCACAGCATTGCTTTCATTTGTAATATGTGTCCCAGGGTTCTTGTATTTATTTCAGTCTCAGCCGCAGTAATAAGTAATTGTCTTGTTGAAATGTGTCCCTCCTGTGATTCCCTATTTTAACACAATTCTAAATCACTGTAGTGCACATTCACAAAACTACAGGGAAAACCTCAAGATTGAAACAACATCAACAAGGCTTGACTTAATTGGTTTTCAATGTAGTAGTCCATTCAGAGACCAATCCTTAAAAGTCAGACATTAAATAACACATTAATAACAATCATCTGCCCTGGCAAATTGTTTCTTGTATGCTGAGGTCTTAAACAAAATCTAAGAAGAAATATTGTGTTCTTTTTTGTACTGTCTGGACTTAAACCCAATGTCAATGTTATTCCCTCTGTGATGTCTTGTAGCTGTGAGAGTCAAATTCTGCATCTGGAATAGTTATCACAACTATATTTGAATTTATTTTATGTTGTTTAAAGAGAGAGAGTGGTTTCTAGCGTAAATTCTATAAGGCGTTTCATTATTATATTTGGGCATTGGTCTTTGTTTAATATAGTATTATTAATTTGTGATCAATTTTGGATTAGATTAGGTCAGTGGTTCCCAAACTTTTTCAGTCGGGCCCCCCTTGGGTAATTGGAAATATTTTCGGGACCCCCCAACCCGGTTCCCATCTATATTGGTAGGATTAATTGTATATTGTTGTAAAAACATTACATTTTCTCTACTAATAATAAGAAGATACAAAGATCCAACTATAATTTTATATTTTATTATGGATTACACATGAACAAAAGTGCTTGTAATAGATACTGTGAATTAATTTGGCCTAATTAAAACTGGTTGGCCTTCTTCCCTGAGTAGTAGATTTTTAAATTCAAATTTCTTTAAGGAAAATGTATTAATTAACTACTATTTCTACTGCAGGTTGCAAACGATCACATCACTTGACCATTCCTATTCCACACATAGCCTATCAATGACTTGTGTGTGCTTGCTTTCCCTTGGAACCGGGGGCTGTTGTTTTGAGACTGCCACTCTCAGTTCATTCTCAATGTTCAGCTTTGATCTGTATTTCGTTTTGATGGCAGCAACAGCAGAAAAGCCTATCTCACACAAGTAGGATGTTGCAAAAGGCATCATTATGCCCACAGCTCTCTGACCAATGAGATATTTTCGAGCAGTGTTTGTTTACAATTGAATAATAATAATAATACATTTGATTTATAGCACACTTTAAAAACAACGTCATCTCAAGCATAGCCGCGGGAAGTAGGGGTGCTGGGGGTGCTGCAGCACCCCCTGTTGGCGAGTGGTATACATTTGAAAAACGGAGTGACCACCTAAATAAAAATGATTAAAGGGATAGTGGAAATCCGCGAATTTTGGGTTTAACTTATGTATTTTTATTAAAAATAAGCATAATAAACAATTTTTTTTAATTTCATGCGCCTAGTTTCATTTTATTTTCAATTTTACTGCGCCCTCTCAATGAAACGAAATACTTCGGGAATCGTCGGGAATCTTCGGGTGATGACGAGAGCATAGGAAGACGGGCACAAACAATGGCGGACATTCAATAGCATTTGCATGTGAATAGCCGACCTTTATTATGGTGAATAGTTGTGTTTTATATGGCTGTAGTGCGACAGCAAATGCAGAGAATGGCTTATCGACGCATGCGTTTCCAAGAAACCCAGCCATTCGTCGTCAGTGGGTGAAATTTTGATCACAAATCAAAAAAGGTAAGACGTAATTATTGTAATATTTTTGGAACCGGATGTTTTTACTTTCTCTTTTCTGGCTGATAGCTCCAGGAATTCGAGGTCTTACAGTGATGACATTACATGTGTGGAATCTGTGGAGTCTCAGCTTTAAATCGTATATCTTGTTTGTGCAGTTAAGATAGTAATAACTAATAAGGGCATTTCTACCGTGTGTTGTGTGTAAAAAAGCGTTAGCATTAGTTAGCATTGTTTCGCTCAATGCTAATTCAAAGGATTGGTATTACTCTTGTGTTTTTTCTAGCTAACAATTGTTCTTATTGTCAGTTAGCGGAGTTTCTTACCTTTAAAAGGGTATGAAACATTAATAGTTTCATAAATGTTAAGAAGCCCTGAGACATGTGAGAGAAAAAAAACTGTGGGAGGGGTCCACTGGGGGGACCTTCGGGCTTAACTGGTTAACAATTATTAATATTTGTAAAGGCTACAGGTGATCTTAAGATGCGTGAGCTATGCTTAGGGACCTACCAGTCAAGATTATTTGTGCGTAGGGGTGCATCATCTGGCACCTGGTCCTGGTCATCCTCGCCATTGCCCATGCCGTGAACCATCACCTCGGGCTCGGGCTCGAACAAATAAGGACGTAATGGTCCATCGTCTGGCTCAATATTGTCACCATCGTCGCTTACTGAACCGGATTCAGATTCAGTTCCTAAAACGACATTTTCGTAGGAAAGCCGAGAGGATGTTTCTGACTCGCTATCATCACTGGATACCTCGTACAATCCTTCTTCTTTGTCTGGTATATTTGCCCTTCCACGTTCATTCTGCATAGACGCCATGGTTTGTTATCGTATCGTCTTCCTAAGTTTTCGTCACTTCCGGTTTGGCTGAGTCGAACATTTCGTTTCTAAAAAACTTCGGGGAAGCTGCAATAAAGTGCTTCTAACATGCGTAAGGCAATTATTATATTTTTGTAATCAGGTGTGATTGTTTTGGTACGTAATTATGCTTGTATATAAGTTAAAACGAAACTATTTGAGGTTCCATTTCCACTATCCCTTTAAACTACATAAAATAGTTATGATTTTACTTAAAATAAAATTAGCTGTATACAGTAGCATATAATAGTCATAGTATATATTTGTATATATCAGGTGGCTTGAATTTATTTTCTAAATAAATAAAATCCGAGTCATCTAGGTCGTAGGTCCTGGGAGAGTGACGTAATTGACGCGACACACACACTGCAGTGACAACTTTCTAGAATGGCGCAAACAAGGATTTTGGATTTTTTTCTCCAACAAACAACCCAATAAAAATACCAGCTACTCCTCAGCCCACCACCTCTACAACTAGAGTAATATGACACAGAAGAGACTGACACATCTGACTTTAATGCATGTCCATAGTAACATTTTGGACAATGTGGATGTATCTACTCTAATGAGGGTCTTCATTAATGCCACCCCAGGCT